AAAAATAAACTCCAATATCATCCGATTCAAGGCACTCACCAAACTCGACTGTTAACTCAACCCCGAAGATATTGTAAACAAGTTTTTGATGTCATCTCAATTGTAAATAAATTTATTTCAAAAATTCAACGCTGGTGTTAATCTTTATTAGCCTGATTTTATTTTAATTAAAAAAAATACAAACATTAAGTACAATCTGGCCGTAATAAAGATTATTTTCTTTGATAAAGTTTCTTAAATGATAGAAGTAGGTATTGTTTTTAATGATGCTTTTGTTATTCGTAAAATAATTAACTTTATTTAAGTAGAAAAGTTGCTAATACAAAATGCTTGTCACAACATGCGAACACGGTTCGTTCTGACTGCTTCTCGCCGCGCGATGACGTCTCCCCACTACTACTCTTCTAAGAGCAGCCAACGTAATAAAAATAAAATCAAATGTGCAATCTTAACATAAACGTCCCCGTAAAAGAGTTAAGACTTTCAAATATACAAAACCAAACGATTGATATAAGGTAAGTACAAACTGTATATTCTACTAAATTAATCAAATTGTTCCTTTTTAGTCCACAGGTAAAACACAAATCTTCGAAACACAACGCTTTACAACTGAACCACTAGACAATCTCACCGATACCACTCTCACCACTTCATCTGCTCCAGGATGCGTTGTCACTATTCTTCCAAGTTTCCACTGAAGGGGTGGTAGGTTGTCCTCTTTCAGTAGTACCATTGTTCCAATATTGATTAATCTTGAACCAATTTTCTTCCATTTCAAGCGTTGCTGTAGCTCTCCAATATATTCCTTTGACCAACGTTGCCAAAAGTGCTGTCGGATCTGCTCAATACGTTTATGAATGGTAAGTCTTGAAGTATTAATATTTGTAATGTCCGTTTCAGGAATAGATGTAAAATTTCTTCCAATCAAAAACTGAGCCGGCGTTAACAGATTATCATCAGATGGATCTTCGGAAAGAGGAGAAAGGAGTCTAGAGTTAAGGATGGATTCTACTTGCGTAAGTATCGTGTACATATGTTCAAATGTTAAAATTGTATTACCCATAATTCTCTTCAAGTGACATTTCACCGATTTAATTCCCGCCTCCCAAATACCACCAAAATGCGGTGAATGAGGAGGTATGAATTGCTAACTTATAAATTGATTTATCATCTCTTTTGACAATTCATCTGAACTCAATTTAAGAAAATCCCTCAAACCCTTCAGCTCATTATAAGCGCCACGAAAATTAGTACCATTATCAGAGTATATATGAATGATGAAAGCATTTGTACTTAAGTCCGTTACCAATTTAAGGTGAACCGCCTTTGTCGTAAAACATATAAATAAACACAAATAACATTTTGAAACCTTTGCTCCCCTGCCGTCTTTATTTTTAATAGAAAATGGACCTCCATAATCTATACCCACTATTTCAAACGGAAAAGATGTAGTTATTCTCGTTTTAGGCAATTGCCCCATAATTGGCTTAGATGTAGACGTAACTGTTTGCTTTGCCAAATTGCGTCCACCAATTGTTCAATATTTTTCTCTGGTGCTAGCTAGTAACAACTAGCTAAGGACCAGCATGACATAAGTTTAAGTGTTCAGTTTGAAAGATCAACTTTATGAATGCATGTTTGCTGTGTAAAAGTGCTGGATGTTTCTTTTCATATGCGAAATCAGATTTCTGCAATCTACCTCCAACCCTTAGAATTTGTTCATTATCAATGAATGGATTTAATCCCAACAAATTGCTCTTGATATGGATTTCATCTCGTTTTTGTAATTTTTCGATCTCATCGCTAAACATTTCTCGTTGAGCTATTCTCAATAATGTATTCATAGTTGCATTCAACTCTTCTATGGAAATATTATTTTTCATGCGATAATCTGCAATTTTTTGACAATTATATATGAATCGTTTCACATAGAAAATTACTCTCAGTAATGTAAGTTTGAAAATCTCTGAAATATTAAAAATTCTTCTACATTGCCTACAAGAACGGTATGAGACTGAACTTTTAAATCCTTTAGTTCGTTTCCATTTAATTCTCTCGTCAATAAATCAGCTGGATTGTCTTTAGATTTAACATGATGCCATTGTTCCAAATTTGTAACAGCTTGAATCTCAATTATTCTGTTTGCTACAATTGTTTTTAGAGTGCCTGCATTTGAAGTCAACCACGCCAATACGATTTTTGAATCTGTCCAAAGATAAATTTTATGTAAATCTAAAGTCAGTGACCCCTTCACAATGGTTAACATTTTCGCAAAATATAAACATGCACATAATTCCAATCTAGGAATAGTGGTTATTTTCAGTGGTGCAACTTTTGATTTTGCACAAAGTAATCTAGTGTTTACGTAATCACCATTTTCGGACCTCAAATAAATGTAACAACCACATGCTTTCTCGGAAGCATCTGCAAACCCATGAATTTGAATNATATTGTGCTCTAAACTCCTTCTAGCCATTTTGATCTCGCCTTTCTTTGGTTATACTTGGTCGGGTAGAATTCAAAGATAGAAATGAAGGAAAATATTTGCATGCTGCCTTAAATACAAAATTTCAAAGTACCTACAAACTTTAAAATTGTTGTTATGACAATTTTTTCTTAGAAGTTTTAAAAAGAACTTTCTTTTTATCCTTTTCTTGTATTGATTGTTTCATAAAAACATTCTAAAAGAATTGCTGATTTTAACCCTGCTTAATCCGAGCGTAGACCGACCTTTAACTGACCGTCCACCATTTATCTGGCCCATTGTATCTCGACAGGTAGTCAACGAAGATACGTTGGTTTTTCCGGCGAAATTCCGCATTTTGTTTAATTTTTATGTAAAAAACTAATAAACCGATATTTGATTGTGAGGTATCGTTGAATTCGTATTGTTTTATTCTTTCGAAAGATACCATAATATACTGGGTGTTCCATTTAAAAAAACAAAGCTGTTCCATTTTCCGGAAAAACTAAAAGTGATACCAAAATTTTCCATAAGAAAATATTTGTGTTGATGAGATATGGAAGCTGACGTTTTTTTGTTCATATTGATATCTCAATCTGTTCAGAAGTTAAACAGGGGGGGGGTTACTTTACGCTAGCACTGTATAATCTTAGGTTGCTTTTTGATGGGGAAAGAAATGAATTTTTAAGAAAAACAAAATACTATTCATATGTAATGTTTTTAGGATCTCAATAATAAAAAAAAAAATGTTGGCATTCCATTAAAAAAAAAAAGTTGACAGTCGCCATTTTGAAATAATTCGTCCAATTGAAAATATCAGATCACCATCGTGTAGAGAATGTCCTAAAACATATTACTGCCAAATATTTTGAAAGTAGTACCCATAGTGTGGCTAAAAAAAAAATAAGGCGCTTACTCTGAATCAGGCTGTATACCCACTATTTCAAACGGAAAAGATGTAGTTATTCTCCTTTTAGGCAATTGCCCCATAATTGGCGTAGATGTGGAAGGTGATGCTTTGAAACAAGTTATACATTTTCTAACTGTTTGCTTTGCCAAATTGCGTCCACCAATTTTCCAATATTTTTTTCTGGTGCTAGCTAGTAACAACTGAGGACCAGCGTGACACAAGTTTAAGTGTTCAGTTTGAAAGATCAACTTTGTGAATGCATGTTTGCTGTGTAGAAGTGCTGGATGTTTCTTTTCATATGCGTAATCAGATTTCTGCAATCTACCTCCAACCCTTAAAATTTGTTCATTATCAATGAATGGATTTAATCCCAACAAATTGCTCTTGATATGGATTTCATCTCGTTTTTGCAATTGTTCGATCTCGTCGCTAAACATTTCTCGTTGAGCTATTCTCAATAGTATATTCATAGTTGCATTAAACTCTTCTATGGAAATATTATTTTTCATGCGATCATCTGCATTTTTTTGACAATTATATATGAATCGTTTCACATAGGAAATTACTCTGAGTAATGTTCGTAAGTTTGAAAATCTCTGAAATATTAAAAATTCTTCTACATTGCCTACAAGAACGGTATGAGACTGAACTTTTAATTCTGGTAAATTGTCAATGTCATCTTTCGTCTGCAATGGCCATGCTTGTCTATCGAATTCTAACCAACGCGGTCTATTCTACCATAATTTTAAATCCTTTAGTTCGTTTCCATTTAATCCTCTCGTCAATAAATCAGCTGGATTGTCTTTAGATTTAACATGATGCCATTGTTCCAAATTTGTAACAGCTTGAATCTCAATTATTCTGTTTACTACAAATGTTTTTAGAGTGCTTGCATTTGCATTCAACCACGCCAATACGATTTTTGAATCTGTCCAAAGATAAATTTTATGTCAATCCAAAGTCAGTAACCCCTTCACAATGGTTAACATTTTCGCTAAATGTAAACATGCACATAATTCCAATCTAGGAATAGTGGTTATTTTCAGTGGTGCAACTTTTGATTTTGCACAAAGTAATCTAGTGTTTACGTAATCGCCATTTTCGGACCTCAAATAAATGCAACAACCATATGCTTTCTCGGAAGCATCTGCAAACCCATGAATTTGAAGTTTTTGTTTGTATTCTCCTAATATAAATCTAGGAATTTCAATATTCTCAATAGCCTTTAATGTGGCACAAAATCCTACCCAATCTGAATAAATTTCCATGGGAAGTGATTCATCAGTATTTTGGCTTTGACTGTAATAGGACTAAGTAGACCAAGAGGATCGAATATTTGACCAATGATAGATAATATCGTTCTCTTATTTACGTCTTTATAGTGCTTAAGTTTTGTTTTGTAAGATAAATTATCCCTTTCATGTGCCCAAAACAGACCAAGCGTTTTCGTAACTTGATCGTTTCCCAAAGAAATAATATTTGACGTGGAATCCAAGGTATGTATATCACTAACCCTTTTCGTTATATTGCTATTCCATTTTGCCAATTCGAAACCGTAAGATCTTAAAATGTTTGTTATTTGTTCGCAAATCTTTGTGGCTTCTTCTACAGAATCGAAACATGTTATCAATCATCGACATAAAAGTCTCTTTTAATTCTCAATGATGCCTCTTGTAAGTTTTCATTCTCAAAAGCCGTTTGTAATAAAGATCTAATAGCTAAGTAAGACGCTGCTGCTGTTCCATATGTAACGGTGTTTAATTCGTAAACTGAAACATCTTTATCTGCACCATCTCGCCATAAAATTCTTTGTAATGATCTTTGACTGGGATCAATAAGTATCTGCCTATACATTTTTGAGACGTCAGCAGTCACTGCAATCTTATGTTGGCGAAATCTAATGAAAATAGAAAACAAATCTGCCTGAATCACAGGACCTATCATTTGAAGATCATTTATGCTATAACCACTTGAAGTGCTAGCTGATGCATCGAAAACCACTCTATGTTTAGTAGTTAAGCTGTCTGCTTTTTGAACGCAATGATGTGGCATGTAATAGGAATAATCTGCTTCTTCTGGTTTGTTTATCTTAATCATGTGACCTAAGTTTTCGTACTCAAGCATGAATTGGTCGTATGCTTTTCTAAGAGAAGTATCTCCATTTAATTTACGTTCTAAATTAGTAAATCTATTTAATGCCATGTTGTAAGAATTACCTAGTTTGTCTAACGAATCCCTGAATGGAATTTTAACGACGAATCGTCCATTTTTATTGCGAATCGTAGTGTCAATGTAGTGCTGTTCGCAAAATTGTTCTTCTTTGGTAAGTTTTCGTGTATTTTCAAAATTTTCCAATTCCCAAAATTGTTGTAATTGTTTGTGAATCTGAAGCTGAATTTACCTCTCCCGACACCAGCCAGCCAAAAACGGTTTTGTTTAATAGGGGTTGACCTTTTCCCAGAGATACTTGACCAACACATAATGATTTCCAGAAAATATTTGCACCAATCAACAAATCTATATCGCCAGGTCTATTAAAAGTAGGATCAGCTAGAGGTAAATGTACTGGTATATTTAAAACATCAAAGAATTTAAACTAAAATTAGAACTAAAACTAGAACTAACACTAGAAACTTTAGTCTTCTTTTGATGCTATGCAGTTGATAAATGAACCTACAAGAGTTACTGCATAGACTGCTAAAATGATTGATGTAATTGTTGCATTCAGTACAGTTCTTGTCCTGAATTCTGAGGTTAGAAGCTGTCAAGTGTCTGATCACGACATTGTCTTTTGTGACATCGACTTCTGTTCGCCGGTTTCCTCTCCTATTTGGAAACTATACAGAAACTTAAAAAGAATAGATATTTGTGAGTTTCACGACTTCTTGTGGAAAATTCCATTCAATTTTATCTTCTCCATGAATAACATTGATGATAAGCTTTATTTTTTTAATGAACAACTACTTAATGCATTTAATGTTTTTGCTCCACTCATTAAGGGTAAAGTTCATAAACGTCCTCCTCCATGGCTTACTGATAACCTGAAGCTAATGATTTCTTTAAGGGATAAAGCAAAGGATGACTATAGAAGGAATCGATCTGATGCTAAATGGGATTACTTTAAATCTCTTAGAAACTTAACGGCTTTCACTATTAAGGCGGAAAAAAGAGCATTTTTTCGGTATATTGGTAGCATTCGGGACAAAAAATTAATGTGGGGTAAGCTTGATTCGCTTAATTTAAGAAAGAGGACGCAGTGTAATATTCCAGAGGCTTTGTGTAATGTTGAAGATCTGAATGACTTCTTTTTGAGGAGTGTTTCGGCCATCACTGACAACTTACCGCCCAATCCTGCTATTTTTGAGTATTATTCTAATTTAAATGTTAACAACGAGAAATATTTTAAATTCAAATCGGTATCAACTGATGTATTAGACAAATTGATCTATAAATTGAAGTCTTGTTCTGAGGGCAGTGATGGGATTCGGGCGGATATGATTAAACTGGCTTGTCCTGTTATTTTACCTTATCTTACACATATTGTTAACTGTTGCATCGTTGAAGGACATTTCCCGAATTGCTGGAAACACGCTATAATCAAGCCTATTCCTTAAAATCAAAACCCATCAAGTTACACTGACCTTAGACCTATTAGTCTGCTTCCTACTTGTTCGAAGATCTTGGAAGGGATATCTTGGAAAGTATCAGTTGAATGATTACATTCAAACTTCTAATTTGCTCCCTGACTGTCAGTCAGGGTTTCGTAAAAATTATACCACTATTACTACTATGACAGCACTTTTGGATGATATTATTTCGGGGGTTGATAAGAGTAATATTACAATTCTAGTTTTGTTAGATTTTAGCCGGGCATTTGACACCGTTAACCACGAGATCCTTCTTTGTATTCTTTCTTCGTTTGGTTTGAACCCTGTTTCACAGAGTATTATTGAGTGTTATCTTCATGACAGGTCTCAACGTGTAGCTATTGATGGTGTAGTATCTCAGAGCAGATTCATTTCTGATGGTGTTCCTCAGGGTTCTATTTTAGGCCCGATTTGTTCTCGATCTACACTAGTAATTTACTTAAATGTATTCAACACTGTACACCATATGTTTATGCGGATGACACTCAATTGGTGCTCTCCTTTCTTCCCTCCGAGTCTGGTCCTGCTATTGATAATATAAATAGAGATCTTAATAGTGTGTTTATCGCAGCTTCGCAGCACTGTTTAAAAATCAATCCCGACAAGTCTGCGGTCATGTTTTTTGGGAATAAAAAAAATTGTGCTGAATTGTCTCACGCTGCTAATATTGCTGTGAATGGCTCAAAACTACCTGTAGTTGAAAAATATATAAGTCTTGGACTGGAAATTGATAACTCTTTTCGTTTTTCTAATCAGATCTCTAAGTATATTAGGAACGCCTATTGTGAACTGAGACTACTTTATCCACATAGAGAATACTTACCTTTTGATGTTAAACGAAACTTATGCGAGATGATGAACTTATGCGAGAGTTTTGTACTATCTCAATTTAATTATATGGTTCCAGTTTACCATCCAGCGTTGACCGCTCTTGATGCGGGTAGAATTCAGAAAATTCAAAACAATTGTTTACGATTTGTGTATGGCATTAGAGAATTTGATCATGTCTCTCATAGGTTGGTGGACGCTGGATGGTTATCAATGAGGAACAGAAGAGAATTACATACCTTGATTTTTTACCATAGGTTGATGATCTCTCAAGCTCCGCATTATTTATTTAAAAAAATTAAATTTAAGAATAAGGATGTAAATGCTTGTCAAATGAGAACGCGTTGTCTTATTGTACCACCTGCCCATAGAACTTCATTATTTCAAAGATCTTTCTCTTATCATATCTATAAGTCCTATAACCTCATTATGGAATCGGATTGGACAGCCAATGTCTCGGTTTTCAGGTCTCGCCGTTTTAGACGAGACCTTTGAATGACGTTTGAATCACAGACAGAGGCATTGAGAGGAGGTGTTGCCTTATCTCAATGTGTTGCTCGATACGCGTCATAGCTTCCCTTGTTTTTTTTTTTTTAATTTCTTTCATTTCTTTTTTTTATTTGGTTACAAGATTCATTTTATGCTTTTTTTATGATGGTTACTGTTTAGTTTTATTATATTATATATATATTTATTTTTGGTTATTTACTTTATTTATTTTATTTTTAGTTACATATTCTTAGATATTGATGCCATAATCAGTACTTATAAATGCGAATTTATTGTTTCTGTTTTTTATGTTTCTTATTGTGTTCTTTATTCTCAAATTTACTTGGTTTTATTTTGTTGAGGTTCCAATGGAAGAACAGGAGCTTCGGCTTCCTAAATTGGCGCCTTGTGGTTTGTACCAAAAAAGAATTATTCATGGTTTATTTTCTTTTTTTTACTCTGCAATTTGTATTTTGTTTTTGGTACAATAAAGTGTATTATTATTATTATTATCTGTGAAAAAATCCTCGTTTGTCGGCTATTTGTAATATTACTGTGGATAGTAAATTTTCTTGATGATAATGTAGTTGCTAATTCATTTGTAGCTGGTTTGTCAAAATGCAATAACGTGTTGTGCCGTGCATTACATTTCTTACATGAACCATAATTACAATTGGCGTTGAAATGGCCTGGTTTTAAACAATTATTGCAAAATTTCATTTTCTTGATATGTTCAATTCTTTTGTTGATCGGCATTTCTATGAATTTTGAACATTGATAAATTTGATGTTCTTGTTGGCAAGCAGAACATTTGTTCTTTGTTACTAACATGACCCTTTTAATTTCCTTTGGTTTCTGTGGCTGATTTAATTGTAAAGTTTCCAATAATTCAGTTTTACGTTTCAGAAATTGTTTAAACTTGAAAAAAAAAAAAAATAAAATTGCTTGTGTTTGCGCACTCTTTAAAAACTTTTCAAATGTTGTTAATTTATTTTTTAAAGAAGCACGACGTCGGATTAAACCGCTTAATTCGTTTGCCTTTGTTTCTTTATCCGTCATGTTTATCGATACTTGTACACAAATAAGGAAATAAGGGATGACTTACTTGGTAAATGGAAATTGTTATGTTTTATTTTGTTGCAGGCTCACGTAAGAATACTCGGAAACCTTCGTGAATCCTCCTTGCCACTCACATTGGAATACTCGGAAACCTTCGTGAATGTGCCTTGAATCTTCGCAGAACTCAAACAGCTTGACCGTTATTGATTTTTGGTTTTGGCGCCGTTATGACGAACGAACAGCTGCACGAACCATTGAATGATGACAAACACCTTGTTATTGTGAAATGAATGCACTGAATCGACGAAATTGTTTGTACTGTTGACATTCGGCTCGAAGGGCCATGTTTTTAATGATGCTTTTGTTATTCGTAAAATAATTAACTTTATTTAAGTAGAAAGGTTGCTAATACAAAATACTTGTCACAACATGCGAACACGGTTCGTTCTGACTAGGGATGGGAAACACCTACCGGTTTATACAGAAAACCGGTGTTTTACTTTTTATTAACCGATTTTTCCGATTATTTTTTTGTCGCAATTTTAACCGTTTTTTTTTTAATATGCAATAGCCGGATAAAAAGCCATTAAATTCTAAGACAATAAATAATTTCACAAATTAATAATTTTATATTTCTCTAATAGTAAGTTCAGAACAGTATTCAGTGTTGACCGTGTTGTGGTGTTGACTCGTTGACTGTTCTGTGATTTGGGCGTCGTTGTCTGCGTGGTTGATTAATATTGTTGTTATAAATATTTCCGCTATGTCATCCATAGTGTGGAAATATTTTACTAAATGCAGCGAAAGTGAAGCACAGTGCTCCGTATGTTTAAAAAAAATAAGAACAGGAGGAGGCACAACTAACTTACGGCAGCATTTAGAAAACAAACACTCGAAATATTTCGAGGAAGAAAAGGTAATTTTGATTAATAAAAAGTAATTTTTTCGTAATTTGAAAAAAAAGTTGAAAGTGTACTTCCATAAGTTTCCTCTGTTGGAAACATTATTCTATCTCGATTGGAATTTGACCTTACATTACAGGTGGAGTGCAAATTCCTCTCTGAAGGCACTGAGGGAGCAGGAGAAGGTGTGGTGCTTTGGGAGAGTACTTCATAAGATGACACAGGAGATGACCTCAGGTGGTGATAAAATTGGGCGTATTGCCCCATATCCGCATTA